TGGTAAGAAGTAAGTGTTTTAATGGACGACAAGATCAACTGGGTGTACTTTGTCTATACATGTTTGACATAATCATAATCCAAAGTAATTTGGTAAGAAGTAAGTGTTTTAATGGACGACAAGATCAACTGGGTGTTCTTTGTCTATACATGTTTGACATAATCATAATCCAAAGTAATTTGGTAAGAAGTAAGTGTTTTAATGGACGACAAGATCAACTGGGTGTTCTTTGTCTATACATGTTTGACATAATCATAATCCAAAGTAATTTGGTAAGAAGTAAGTGTTTTAATGGACGACAAGATCAACTGGGTGTTCTTTGTATATATGTTTGATAAGATTATAATCCCAAGTAATCTGGTGATAAGTAAGTGTTTTAACGGACGACGAGATCAACTGAAGCGTTTTGTGCCCATATATTTGACAAGTATGTTTGTTAACTAGAGTAGTAAATAAAGTAAATATCCGGATAACTGTTGATGCATGTATCCTAGCAACTGGTGTAATATTTGTCTAGATAGTAGTCAATATATGTCCATACAATTAACAATAAATTCTTACTGAAAAGGAACACGTTTTATGTACAGAGAATTGTATAGGCTAACCGAGGTCCAACAGTTAACAAGATGTGCGACGATGTCGTTAGTACGTTATGTCGTCAGTTGAGTTGCAGAAACTTAAAGTATCCTGTGAGGTAACGAGATAATTTTAAAAAGGTTCACATATTTGTATCCAGATGGCGTTTGTAGATAATTTATTATAGAATTAATGTATTAAATAGTTGTGATTTTTTAATGTAAATACGTGTTGAATTACCTGATGCCACTAACGAATCGTATTATGATTTAATATTTGCTCACAACGAAACATTTACTCCAAAGTTTGGTCGTTTGAACTAATTTTATCATTTGTAGTAAATCCTTCATAGTCACGATCGGACTTTCCACAGACTTTATAATTTACGTGCAAGGAATGACGAAATAATTAAAATGAATATTACGATTTTGATTTCTTCTATATGTTATATATACTCTGCCTATGTTCCTATCAGAAATTCACTCACACAGTGGTTCTTACTTGTGTTTTTTTTTCCTTTGGTCGAACTCACGTTTTTACATCTTTTTCCCATACCCACGCCGAATCACTTTCTTTGTTTAGGTCATTGCACCTTGATCTCGAATATCTGATTATAGCATTTCCCAACCATAGACGATGCTGTAATCTCTATAGTGACTAAACTTAGAAAGGTGACCGCTGTACCCAATCACTTTGAATGCTATAAATCTCTAATCCTTTAGAGACTGACCAAAACCTGGTCGTTTTTTATACTCACTTACAACAAGGTACGGAACTAATTTGTTGTGTTTAACTGTAAATAATTTTCTAAATTTGTTATGACATCTGAACTTTCAGGTATTCTATTATTCAGATAATCAAGCTTCGAATCCTGGACTTTGACCTTGCATATTATTGCGAAGAGGCAGCTCTAGACATATACGAAGGTGAAAATGAAAGGGGAGATTTGATTGGTCATTTTTGCGGATACAAAGCTCCACGTCAAATCCTATCAAGAGGAAACAGTCTGTACCTGACTTTTTTCACCACCGACAAACCTCGTAATACTGGCTTTAGGATATATTTGGAACATTCACCTTCTATAGGCAAGTGAATTTATCCTTAATAGTTCCACACAAAATGCTAGATCTTAACTAAGGCATATGTGTGCTAGAACAAAATATCACAAAATAAATAGAAAAAATGGGAATTTAAAAACCTGTAAATAGGGATCGTAAAAAAGTAAGAAAACAAGGCTGGAGATACTGTAGACATTATTTACTCAAACTATAAACTCTTATTTTCGTTCCATGCTGTTACCTAGAATTACATTTCGTGGAGTCAAAATAAGGATTTGTCTTTTGAGTAAATAATGTCTACAGTATCTCCAGTCTTGTTTGCTTACTTTCTTACATCCCTATTTGTAAGTTTATAAATTCTCATTTTTTTATTTATCTTGTCTGCTGGCCTTTTTGTGCTCAACTATAGGCAAAGGATTACTTGATATGTTAGCTAACTTTATACATTGTAATGATAATAAACATAGCTAGTAGCTAGCTGATACGGTTCATGATGATTTACTGTAGCTATTGACTATTTGATCGCATTACTTCGCAATGTTAAACTGCAACTGGAGATTGTCATGCAGATTTGTTGGAGAATACAGAGAGCATTTATATTTTTTGTGTAGCTGAATTATCTATATATAATGCATAGCAATAGACAAATATATGTCTAGACTAAGTCACAACCCCCATCAAGCGCGTTTAAAATTTTGCCGGTAGAAAAGCAACCTTTTCAAATAAAACATATACATCTAAAACATCACTTTAAATAAATCTTTGTGTCTTTAAAAGTAATTAATCTACGAATGTGTATAATAAAATTTAATATTATGTGTATTGATTTTTTTTACTCCTTCACTTCATACATAATATAGAAGTTGGTTCCCTAAAGACATTGATTGTATAGTGTACAAAGCATTGAGTATCTACATGTTACAGCCATCTAATGTTCATCTGTTATTGGCTAGTAATTTCTGTTTCAGCCTGCACCTAAGCTTTTTAAAGGAACACCAGGTATTTGTAAGAAAACTAACTTCAAGAGGTAATGATAATATCGTTTATACTCAAATTATGATGTGTTTTAGCTTATGGGTGCAATATATAAAGCCGTTTTTGTTGTAGGCTGACAAAAGAATAATAATAATTAAAAAAACGGGCCATTTTGAGCGGATTTTTTTTTCCTGTGAGTCTAATATGCGTGCTTTCTTGTGCATTTTTATATGTGTATAGCCTAAGCAGTCGAAGTAGGAATGGGCAGAATGATGGCCACACCCACTTTGAGGTTGTACCATTTCAAAAAGCATCAAATGTTGTAATATTATTCCGCCCATTCTTACCTTGTTTCCTTACTTTTTGGTGCTCCCATTCCGACTTCCGAATCTATATTTAAACTTTTTTAACACTTTTCTCGTGGCTTTTTTTTTGGTACTAAGTCTCGAGGGTGACTGGCTCTAGGCTTATCCTTTTCGTAGCTTTTCTTAAAGCTATCTCTCGACATTTCCTGCCTTTTGCTATATATTTTTTTTTCAGGGTGACAGCCTTTTCTTTGGCTAATGGCTAAGGCTTGTTTCGCATATTCAGCATTACTGTTTCTAAACTTATCTCTATTTTTGCAGTAATGCTCTCTTCGCTCGGACAAAGATTTTTCAAGGTTATCAACATGCGATTTTCTCTTTTCCTCTCGTTTTGTTTCCTTGAAAGCAATGACGTATTTAATGTCGATGCATTTTGTTGATTTAGTGAAAACAAAACCCCTCAGATACGAATGAAATGTTTTCACCAGTTATAATATTTTCTTGTATGGAACAGAATGCGGTCCGTACATCGATCCCCCTACTCTCTCGGGGGGTACGTAAAAGTATTTACCAAGTCTAGTGGCAATCGGTTCAACAACTTGCCAATTTTAAGCTCACACACACACACACATATATATATACAAAAGCTTGTCAAGTAATAATTCAGATAACGGGTTTTAACTTAAACGGAACTTTCCTGTAAACATATTGATTTTATTTTGTTAAATAACTTGGAACATTCTATATATTTATTTATGAAAATAAAGCTATTCTAACATGACATGCAGTTGTTTGTTTATTAGTCCTTGCTTGCTGTAGTAAATATCCTAAAGTTTTTAACTGTTGTAACGAAGAAATCAACTTTTCTAAACATCATCAATAATTTTGATAAATTAATCTCCGACCACCTATCAGTCTATTTTTGCCGTTAAAGTTTTTTTTTGTAAACATTCTTTTGGTGTTTAGTTGAATGGTCAGGTTAGAGGTTCTTAAGGTTCAGGCATAGCTATTATAATTTAGAATTTATAACCAGAAATGGAGGGTAATCAGTTAACACCATCCGCCGTCTATGCTGTACTCTTGATCAAGTAGTGATGTTGGTTGTCATAGTTACATCCACAGTTGAAATTGCACAGCTTGTTCAGCAATATATCGATCCACGTTTGGTAATTCTAACTACTTCATCACTGTTTTACGTTCTACTTATTTTTAAAAATATCACAGACAGTGGAAATAAAATCATTTCGTAATTCGAAACTAATGTATTTAGATCTGTAAAATTGTTGGTGTTGTTGTCTTAGAGCAAAGCTGCCACCTGCATTCTGTTCATCGCGGGGAATCGAACCCGGATTTTTTGCGTTGTAAGTCCGTAAACTTACCGTTCACTCATCGGGGGGCCACTGAACACTTTAGACAAGAATTAATAAATACATTTAAAATATTGCTTATTGAAATTTAAAACCTTTTCTCGATCTTTCTACAATGTTTTTTAGGTTTTCGTGGATGATTTTATTTTTATGTTGTATGGAAATATATATGTTACTTTCTGTCATTTCTAGCTCACTGCAAGCACGGAGAATTGCAGTGTCGGCATCAGACCAAATGTGTCACAATAGACCTTGTATGTAATGGTGTTGATGACTGTGGAGATGGTACCGATGAAGAGCGGTGTGGTAAGCTTGTTATAAATATTCACTCATTTTAGAACTTAGATAACTTTAATGTTACATATCTTTAGTAGTTAGGCCATACTTTTCTATTTCATTAGGATATCAAACCACGTTTTTATAAAATACCAATCACATGTTGAACTCCCGTTACATCCTAGTAAACAGAACGTATTTCATTCAGAAAAAACAACAGCAGAGTGATATGTAGTAATATTTTTCTATAATATTGTCACACACGTTTTGTTACCAAGATGTTGGTTTATTGTTGATTTAGTGCGTAGTGTTATTTAAATGTTGTAGTTGGTTGGGTGGACGATCTATGAGACTGATGAGAATTTACTTTCTTAGAAATGTTAATGTTGGATTGGCTGAAATATCTTCCGTGATACAGAAAGAATCTAATTCAAATAACTGTGATATTTCCAGAGGTTCCAGTGGATCTCAACTTGTCTTGTGGTAATCCACAGATTCCTCCAGTACTGGGAAATAAGAGAATTGTGGGTGGAAGGGATGCGATCCCTGGAAGTTGGCCTTGGCAGGTGTCGCTACGAGTACGTGAATTGGAGCCGTACAGTCACCAATGTGGGGGTTCTTTGATCAACAGACAATGGATGGTCACAGCAGCACATTGTTTCAGAACGTAAGAATTAAAAGTTATATATGTTTGTTTATTGTGAAAAATCAAAGCTTAATTAGATCATTTAAAAAATAGTCTAGGTTGTGTGTGAGAGAGAAGATTTAATCTTGTACTTTTTATATAAGATGAGGTGTGTAAGACTCGTCCTTCTTCTTAAATTTACTGGCATCCATTCCGTATAATTATATACGGTATTTCCTCGCGAAATAGAGGTGTCGACACATTAACGTGTATTATGTAGAGTCCATAAGACTAGTGGACGTTAAACATCTGGAGTAAACGCGTGACGTTGAATGTATAGCTATGTATGATTTTTGCCTGTTGATACCGTTCTCAGCTATTGATATATTTGTTCTAATTTCACCCAACAAGAGCCACGTTCACAAGTTCTCCCAACCGTCGAAAGCTGTACGAGCGGTAACTGGTATGTGACCAATAAAAGTATGTTTTCACATTGAACGAACTTTCGTTCAGATTCAACACTATTGTGGTTGCAGGATACACTTATTTAACGTTATGTTAATTGATGTTATGTTACATATATATCAACTACAGTTGTAGTTGTAAATCATGACGAAATGCTGCTATTGGAACATATTCTCTATGTTTGTTGTCAAAATCTCCTACTTTTAACTGTTTATTTAACATTGCTATCCTCTGTTGGTTAATTGAAACATTCTTACCCAGTAGGAAAAAACAGGAAGAGGGGTGGTTTGTGAAATGTTTGAAACATATTTCATGTTTTTCATGTGCATTCTTCGTTCATTATTATAAAAGTAAGTAAAATGTAAAAACTAGAAACTTATTTGGTCAATTGAGTTAGATAATGTAAAGGGAAGGTTTCAGGTCCTACTGAGAAGAAGTGGAATGGCACCCCACCTCAAGCACTGTATATACTGTACAGACCAAAATACCTGTTTACAATCCAGCTTCCAAAGCCCATGGCACCCCTCCCCACCTCAAGCACTGTATATACTGTACAGACCAAAATACCTGTTTACAATCCAGCTTCCAAAGCCCATGGCACCCCTCCCCCACCTCAAGCACTGTATATACTGTACAGATCGCCATGGCCTTTCGAAGCTCGATTGGAAACACGTATTTTGGTCTGTACAGTATATACAGTGCTTGTGGTGGGGAGGGGTGCCATGGGCTTTGGAAGCTGGATTGTAAACAGGTATTTTGGTCTGTACAGTATATACAGTGCTTGTGGTGGGGAGGGGTGCCATGGCCTTTGGAAGCTCGATTGTAAACAGGTATTTTAGGTATTTTGGTCTGTACAGTATATACAGTGCTTGAGGTGGGGTGGTGTTTACAATCGAGCTTCCGTATATACAGTGCTTGAGGTGGGGAGGGGTGCCATGGGCTTTTGTACAGACCAAAATACCTGTTTACAATCGAGCTTCCAAAGCCCATGGCAACCACCCCACCTCAAGCACTGTATATACTGTACAGACCAAAATACCTGTTTAAAATCCAGCTTCCAAAGCCCATGGCACCACCCCCAACCTCAAGCACTGTATATACTGTACAGACCAAAATACCTGTTTACAATCGAGCTTCCAAAACCCATGTCACCACCCCCACCTCAAGCACTGTATATACTGTACAGACCAAAATACCTGTTTAAAATCCAGCTTCCAAAGCCCATGGCACCACCCCCAACCTCAAGCACTGTATATACT